CTGCCCCTTGGACTAAGCCTGAGAGGGCAGACGACGCCGCGCCGCTGCGTGGTCCCCCCCAACTAAGTTAGCACGGTACCTGTACATACAAACAAACATTTCTCTCGCGGCACAATTAACTGAACAAGTTGGTATAGTGCCAAAAACCCGGCCAGTTTGGACGAGTGGCAGCGGCGCTGGCCACTGCTTACCCTTTCCTTTGAGCCTGCCGCAGCTGCGACGTCATTTTGACGTCACCAGTACGCGCTCGCGTCCGCGCCGCCGGTGAGCTTTTCTCTCCCCTACGACTTACGGAAAGCGATACAAAATTCGACTTCGATTGATGGTTCCTCCTCTGTAGATAGATCTTACACTGTAGATACATTGAGTGCGAGAAATCTGACTTATGAGTACTTATTTTCCAGAGGCTGGCGAATCGAATTCTCTCTCAATTTCAATGATGCCGTCTCTCACTAACGGGGATGCTCCAACTTGTGAAGACAGTGACTCAGGGACTTCTCATAGCTTCCATTCACAGTCAACGGCGGTTGTTAGTGACAGCGGTTAGTGATGTTCTTGAAATTTCATTAATGACTTTTACCGTTTCTCCTACTTACTGTTGTAAGAAGCTCTCACAGTCAAGAAAACGCGGACATGAGTTTTTTTAGTAACTGATGACGATGCGGAATTTGAAAGAGAAATGCGCCTCATGCTCATGGGGCATCATCCTCAAACGATTTACTCTCGTAAGGTGTTCCTCGGTGGCCTCCCTTCTTACTCTAATTCAGGTTGTTTGGTGATTTGATGATCGGAACTACTTATACACTCATATTCTTAGATACTAGTTCCAGATGATCTCCAGAAGTTTTTCTCCACCTTCGGTCCCGTTAGTATTATGTGGCCACTTGCGGAAAATGGCGACACGGAACAGGAAGGCACCACTTATGGTATTTGTGGAATATTTATTTTCTACTTAGCTTTACTGACCTACAACTGTATCCACAGTGCCATCTATCAAAAAAGAACTCTGTTAAAACTGACTAGAGATAATACAAAGAAAGCGTAATATGCGAAAAGGAAGTGATGTCTGAGGGCAGCTGTTTCGAGGCCAAAAAAAAACAAAGGGAAAAGCAAGACAGTGGCGCGGGGTCCTCATTTCGACCTGATTATGGGAATAAACGATTTTACCATCAAGGTAGATGTGAGACTAGACAAATGCACTATCGTGACAATATGGCGACAGCGCTATCACGATTGTGAACTGTCACAACTTTCGCCACGTTCCAAAGGCAGTATTCTCGGGGCGGGCCGGATGAGCTGTCCCAACTAGCTTGCCCCGCCGGCATTTATTGCTGGCTCGTGCCGCAAGAAGTGCCGCTGCAGTCGGATATGCACCATTTCAAACAATGAATACTTTAATTAAATGACTAAGGTAAGTAAAACCAAACAAAAAGCAGGCGGTAACTGTTTGGAAAGCAGAACAGTACACGCAATCGCGCAATGACCAAGCGGCCAGTCGGGTGTGGGTACTTACGCGTTATTTGCTCTGGTTCTAAGTTGCGACAAGGAATTTGAAGCTTACTAACCATGGACTTGATAGTGAACGAGGAAATGGCCACCAGAAGAGGACCACTAAATAGCAGTGAAGAAAGAGGTAGGTTAATTTTGCAGAGGATGGATGGTAGACCCTGGAAGAGGAGTGGTTGATGGACGTTCGATGAGACTCACGACAAAGGATCAGTTCGTCAGGTTTGCTATGATATATAGAGTATTACCTAGGCCGATGAGTGTGTAATTACCTCGTTCACCAATAATTTGAAGTGTTCTAGAATTCTAGAATACCACTTTAACGGCATCGCTCGGAATCGTGTAATTCACAAAACATTTCCATTGATGAGAGAGAATTGGTGATTCACCGCATGTCTCAATACAATGAGTGTGAGCGTGGGCAAGCAATAAATCAGAAACTTACAAATTCACGCATGCAAAAAAGCTGCTCCAATCGCGCGTTCTTCATACCGTAGTTGTTTTCGCTGCGGGTGCGCCAGCCTGCCGCGCGATGTCGCGTTGCGAAGAGCGAAAATGTCGCTTTCTGTCCTAAGTACCCACACCCTAGCCAGTCGCGCAATCGCGCCCAGAACACGCAGTCAATCACGCGATCTCACTAGCTAGCAGGTGCACGGAACAATGTAAATCAGTGGTGTTAGCATGCTCAAGTCCCTTATAGCGGCTATCCAAGCTTGTCTTGTTCAGCGACACTTCTTATGTTCTTGAATAGGGCTCACGCACCTTTTTCATCCCATTAAAAGCAAGAGAATGGATCTCACTCCCACTGCGACTGTTACTTTAATAAGGCAAAGGCAGCATGGTGCTAACCTAGGCACAAAAGTGGAAACGCGACGCAAAAAACGAAATGTGTCAGAGAGCTTATATTTACTCGCGCTCAAGAACACTATCACACATGAGCTTCCTCTAGCGGTAACCCATAATCTGGCAATCATTTTTTCTGAGCGGCCTTTGGATTGCCAGAAAAAGGGCAGAAATTTTCCTTGAGAAGTGAAACTTTTCCATTTTAATAAATTCTACAGCATTTGTAGAGTTGAATAGTTGCATTTTGAAGCTTTTGTTCACTGAATAAGTTATACATATATATGAGCCCAAAGTGGAAATCAGAGAAATGCAAAAATTTGTCCTCAGTGGGATCGAACCACAAGCCATGGTTTCGACATGTTTTCCAGCATTCCCAGAGCTGCTCAGAAAAAGAATTATTCTCGGTTTTTCGCTCCCGTGTCTCTAGTGTCTCTATGAATGCAAAAAAAACCTTTCGAAAAGCGCTCCATGTCCCGAAGGAGTACGTGACTACTTGAACTTTCTCCTATGTTCTATGCCACAGAGCACTAGGAGTCCCAGTGAGAGCACTAGGACTAAGCTTTGAGGGAGAAGGGACTCCGGAGTGGGTGAGCCAATTACATTGTGGCAAAGTTTGGAATGTGTCAGATCACAGTAATCATAAGCCGCTGTTTAAGCGAGAGAGCGCAGGCGAGAGCATCGAATCGAAGCGGTTCAAAGGACTGAGTTCAAGTTGTCCTTTAACCGTCCCGAAAGACTTCGGTAAGGGGGTAGGGCGAGTCACTTAACATGTTTGAAAAGCTGGAAGGTGCCCCCATAACGTTACTTTAGAAAGTGAGCGCTGGCATGCCGCACATTGTCAAAGAATGCGAGCTGCGCCTGCGGGGCACTGCACGTATGACATGATTACGGCAATATGACTGGGCTTATACGTACGAATCTACACCTACTATTGTTGCGATTACATCAATATGGCAATATACAAGTGAAAGAATTTATAACCCAAAGCAGTGAAAGGGTCAAAACAGAGTCGCAGAATCAAACACCTGGCTGACTGCTGGGTGTACCTACGAGGAAACCTGGCGGGCCTCATCCCATCCTCAATGTTCACCATTGCCGCGCGAGTCCCACCTTCCCCAATTTCCTGTATGCGACACAGGCATCATTCTTTGGACAGTTGCTACCGCTTACAGAAATTCTAGTTTTGGCAGGAGAGGCTGTACCGAGTGTGCTAGCAATTTCGTCTTTGTTTCCCTTTTACAACAACTGCATTATCATGCCTTCCACTTGCGGAGGTAGGCTTGTTTGGAGAACCTAGAAGCTTTTGAGGCACCTTTGGCGCCTTATCACGCTTTTGATAGCGCTCCTTTCGCCGCGAAAATGCCACCCATCGTTATTTTGACATTCTATACCCTTTCCACTACCTAACCCTCTTCCTTGATTATCTGTTTTAACATAATTTTTGTCTATAACTGAGGATCTTTTAGCTATTTTCAAGTAATGTTTTCAAACTTAAGGGTATGCCTTCGCAATTTTCGCTTCTGCCGATTCTGTAGTCAGTCTAATCAATTCGTGTGCGAACTTTAACGGAAAATATTCTATATCAACACCTGTATGCGGAAGTCGTCACGCTACTGTAAGTGCATGCTATTTTCGTTTGATATTTGCTGGGCTTTCTCTATTTTTTCGAGTTCAGATTCACATTCGAGTGTGGTTAAACAGAGATGCTAAGTACTGCAGTGAAAATAGTGTGGATTTTATGGATAATCTCACCAAAAATGCTGTATTTGTGGGAGGTCTTCCACGTACGGTAACAGCTAGTAAGTTTCAGTTTGAGCTTTGGATACAGTTCTTATTATTTTGTTTATCAGATATGTGTAGTGTGGGCAAGTGGGTCTGAAGAAGCTAAAAAAGGGATAGGTGTAGACAGCGGGGAAAAGCGTTGAGGTAAATTTTACTAGTCTCCACAATAGATATTGATCAAATAGGGCCTAAAGTCAAACGATGCTCCACCTTATTCAAATTTTTCATTCATCAGTATCAGCATCGCTTATGTAATCGGGAGTAATGATATTTTTAGCCAAACTGGTTGATGTAGCTGGATACGGGTAGCGTAGGCTCGTATGGTCCATGAAAGGTCTACCTTTCATTTCCCTCTACGTCTCACTTTGGTCCTAATTTCAATATATTTCCATCGCTATCCTCAACTTTACTTCCCAGTCCTGAAATGCTGGAACCTTCTCGGGATCTAATTTTTCCAAAAAAATTCCTCAACCATAACTTAGTCTCTTTCTCACCTTTCGGACAATGCACCGCCGATCTCATCACATATGCCCACTCTCTTTCCCAGGAGCAGTATGACCTCTGGCATGAGGATGCCTCGACTTTGGCTCACCCTGGTTCAGTGATGGTGCCCATTCTGTTTCACTGGAACTTGGTGCTTCTAATTACGCCATTGTAGATGAAAGATAGGACTTTGGACACGAAAGGGATTGAAAATACGCTAGTTGTAGATGAATATTCTAGGTGAGCAGGTAGTGCAACCAGCCTTCCTACTTCCTTCCTTTCAATGATACCTTAGCGGTGGGCTAGTGCCAGCTCGGTTGTATGAAATGTTGCCGTTCTCGAAACCCTTCCTTTTTGGCTCAAAATGTACTTTTGAGTCTATTTGAGAGACTTTACTGGATGTTTTCCATTGCATGAATTGAAAGTGGGACGTTATTCTTCCAGAGGAACTGTTTGACTTCATGTCACTTGCGTTTGGTGATGTTATTATGACGCAGATAGAGGTGAGTCATTCACTTTATCAGCCTATCAGCGAATTTCAGGATCAGTGCTCAAGAGCTTTTCCTTGTTTTTCAGTCACGACGTTCTTCAGTCTTTAGTAAGACCATTTGAGCTGCGCACGATACCGAGCGCGAAAGTCGGTTGCTGAGAACAGACTTATTCGTAGGATGATTTTGACCTGAGTCTTGCAAGAATGCGACAGTTTGCTTCGAGCCTCCTTCCGGATATTCGAATTCGGTAGAGGAGCATGAGTTTACTATAGAGCGAGGATAAGCATGTAGCGTGAATAGGGCGTTGTTCTTGTAGAAATTTGCTGAGAATTTTCCCGTTTCATCATACGTATTTCCCCCTCCCCGCTCACCGTCTTTTACACCCTATTTCGCTAGGATCGTATTTTCGTGGTATCTGAGATGTTTTGAAGCGAATTGAACGACTTTTTTGCCGAGTCCGCTAAACTGGACGCATGCCCCGCCAACACGCGCGGACTTCTCATCGCCAATTATTCCCTTTAGCGGTAAGTGCCCTATCTAGGCCTATTTTTTCCTGACCTTCGGGATCTCCAGGGAGCGAAAACATTTTTCAGCAAATTTTTATTTTGAACGCACGCCCCGTTCGCTGTGGGTGGGGTTTCCCATGACCAATATATTTCCCTTGTAGAGAGCGTCTCATGCTCTACCAACTGCAGACTTGACCCGCCCTCCTTAGGTAGATTTTCGAAACACAAAAATGCCAAACGTTTGGGGGACACTTGCGAATTTTAGGGGAGCGGACAGATTAACAGACTCTGGTTAATATGTTAGAATGATAGTTTTAATTTCATTTAGGTTGAAGTGGAAACAGATTACCCAAAAGGTGCAGGATGCGTCGTATTTCGTGATCGAGATTCTTTTCTTGTTGCCATCGCCCGTCGTTTCATTTCTTTCAAAGTGACGGACTGTTATAAAAAGGTGCGATTATATGTGTGTCGAATGTTGGCTTGCTTTTGAATTTCTAAAGGCCTCAACTACACGTTTCCTTTCGTGAAACCGCAGCAAATTACTAGTATTATATAACTTTAATCTCACATATGCTGCAGCTTGTGCACTTTTTAGCCATGCTGTCTGTTGCCCAGCCAAGGCTATCGCGAGAGACTTGATTAATTTTTTTTTGAGGTTGAGTTGAAACCTTACTTGATGCGACTTACGCAGTGCGACATCTGTCAAAAAACGAGGGCACGAAATTTTTGTCCGCAACTGCGTTGTCTTAAGTACATGTGTGAGGTGTGTCCTTTTTAATTAATGTCTGCTTTGGCTTTGTAACCTTAGGTAGCATTTGCAGCCGTGCTGGCAACGAGCGCACATGGACTTGGATAATCTTAGTGGACACCTTCCCATGGTTCGTTCGCCGCCGATACGTACTCGTTTTTCAACGAACAATGCTTCCATTCCTTGCAATAATCATAAAATGTGCTTACTTATTCTCCCTACTTTGTTGTATCAATTTTTCTTGTTCACACTTCCATTTATGATTCTTTAGGTTTAGTGAAATTTTCCCTAAATTTCATCAAACCTCGAATAATTTCAGACATGATGGGATATCAGGACGAGCACAGAATAAGGTGATGGAAGTTAGCGAAAAGGCTGAAGCTAATGCCCGCAATTTGTAGGTTTCTATTTGTGAATGGATAATTCCTTCTTATAAATGAGGGCCTGGTTCAGTGTAATAATTTTTACAGATATCGATTTTTGAACTCTCTTCCGATTACGCCGATGCCATCACTTGAATGTGATAGGTGAGTGCAGATTGTGCTTCCTGTGGATAACCTTGCCTTTCATCGTCGGAAGCTTTCTTTGTAAAGTATTGTAAAGTAATCTTAATCATATACGAAAACAAGAGTAAAGTAACGTGAATGGAAGATTGCCCGAAAGCATGGATTAGCGCAGCATAGAAGTTTACTGCAAAATTCTGCCCTGACCTGAATACGTTGGACCCGCAACATGTAATCTCTTCGCGTGCGCGAAATGGTTTGATATATGACATCGTTACATTCCTTCGCTGCATCTTTATTCAGTCAGTGCTGCTTTTACCACTTCTGTTGAAAACTGTGTTCACAATTCAAACTACATCTCCTATTCTACAATTTTACGCCTGTGAATTCCAAAGAGCTGCCAAAGCGGCTCAGGACTTTTGCGCCACGTATGGAATGCTAGCGGCTATACCCGCCCGGAAGTTGTCTGCGGGGTTTGGAGAATGGTGCACGTGATTCCTACTACCCGCCTCACTGAAAAATATGGTTTACGGTCGTGAGACTGGAAGAATGTCATGCTTTGGGAAACACTCGTGAAAACAAGACCTTGGCAAAACTTTTGAATGGCTCAGTTGTGCAGCTAGCTTAAATCAAGCTTTTCAATGTTTTTTGTCAGCATAAAAACGCCATGTTATGTACAATACTCTATATTATTCACACACATTGTCTTCATACGCGCCCGTAAGCATGCAAAGCTGTCACGAAAGGTTCCCTGTACTGGTTGGCTATCTTTGAGTGGCGATGTTGCTCAATGAAAGCTGTGGTCCATCATCCACTGCGACGACAGCTGGCTTAACATGACACAACGAAGTTCTTGGTCATGAACTCTTTTTTTTCTGCTTCCGGTTCTTGATTTGGACTGTCAATTACAGTCCATATCTCGAAGTCAGATTAGGCGTGTCTATGGATTTGACGTGGCCGTTGTCGCACTTGATAGAAGCCGTGTGGATAAGCTGTTTCTAACATACTCCGCTGGATATCAGCAAAGCATGCTGGAAGCAGCTTATCGCGCAACTTCTATCAAGTGCGGCGGCCGCCACGTCAAACCCATAGACACGCCTAATCTGACTTCGAGATACGTAGTATACTTGTTATTTCTTTTTCATTTTCCTAGTGAACCATCCAGAGATTGGAACACCGATTGTGGCCTTTTCGACGGTCGTGGACCACCTCCACATTATGGCTCTCGTCTCGTCACAAATACGGTCCAGCCGTCTGCACGTCGATGTAATTTCAAGAAGACTGGTTCTGAATCATACTCTCGTCAAAACTCTCATCTTCCCAATCAACGTATGTATATATTGGAACAAACCTTTAACTCAACTATTCACTAGCAGTTCATGGGCCGGGTGCAGTAAACCCCGCTCGGGGATGGCTCCCCGACGTTGGGGGTGCGTCCTCGACCTTGGGGACATATCCCAACAGGATATGATTCCTTAGCCGAGACTCAGGGGATTCGTGGACCTTTCGTTGGGATGTATCCTCAACGGGAAACCAACCCCGACAGGAGTGAGGGACCCATCCCGGCGGGGTTTGCTGCACCCGGCCCCATGTCCTGCCACATCCCACTTCTGTCAACATGTCAATACTTACGAACTGGAATACATCTGATAGCAGTCATGGTAACAGGTTGGAATGGAGGTTCCGAGAACACGGTTGAGTTCTATTCAACTGCGTTGGCAGCAGGTGGTCACTCGTGGTCAGATCGCATTTCAGCATTCGCCGATACGACATACTCAAGTGAGTAGCGATTTTCTAGGTTTATCTTATTTAAACATTGAGGTGTTGAATTTTGAATGGCGGTTGATTCGTTGAAAACCAACTGCCAACTATCAGCCAGAAAAAAATTCCTTTGAAGATTCCAGTAGTAATCAGTTTTCGTAGAATTTTGTGCTGTCATCCCTATTCTGCACACTATTTCGAACTTCCGAGTTTAATTTCCGTAACCACAATCTAATTTCTGGGAACTTTTGAAATTCAATAACCGCGTTCTAACTCTTGACAAAATTGTGGTATTCAGGACCTGTAGTAATGTCACATTTGAATCATTTTGTCCGTGCTCGTACGTCGTTCTCTCCTACTATTCGCCGTCCAAACCGCCGTCCATGTAACACTCAGGCACATAAGCCCACCAACATTACTAACAACGCAAACAAGGATTTAAGTGACAATGTTGCCCTTTTAGTTTCTCAGTTCCAGCTTTTTTAAACACTCAGTTCTATTTATCTGTGCTTCATTCCTGAAGTTCCGCCTATCTGGAAGCCATTTTTACGTCCGGTTCATTATACTGCACTTATTACCGTGTTGTCTATTCCGTCCGCTCATACATATATCTCATTTGTAGATCTCAGAGATCTGAAAGAAATAGATCTATATATCCTTGTCTCTCAGAACCCAACTAACCAATGTAACGCTAGATCTCTTCAGAATATTTTTGTATTATTTGCATAGCGCTGAGGTTACTGATCAATTACGTTTTTATTACAAGTTCCATTTATTTCAACTAATTATGATACTAGCCCAGCAGCTCTAACCTTCAATTTACCCAATGAGAATAACGTCAGCTTTTTCACTCAACACTTACAAGATTTAATTGTATACATGTTATCACGGCCTTATTTCAAGTTGACAGTTGTATGTTTTTTGTTATTGTTACAGTATTACGGTAGTGGATACCGTAGGTGAAGATCATTATCCGCAAAACCAAACAAAGATTGTATAAGCAGACTTGCGAATGCTACGTATCACATTCCTTTTTCTTAAAAAAGGATTCCTCGATAAGGCAAAGGTCGAAGAAAAGGAAATTTACCTAGTAGAGGGACAGGCGTACTTCCTAAGGGTACGGACCGACACGCGTTTTCGTCGAAGGATGTGCGCTCGGCGATCTAGCATGGCCTTCCCCGCGGCGCTATTGGCACACTATTTGCACGGTGCGCCCCCCCCCCC